CGCCCTGCCGCCTCCTAAGCAGCCGGCTTATGAGACATTTGCAAAGATGTTAACCCCACATAAAAAGTGTGCCGTTCGATAATTATGTAAATTAGCTGGCAATTAGATAATGTCACTCACTTTCCCTCTCTCACTTGATTCCCACACAACAGACAAGTGTTCTGAGCTTCTGCACCAGCCTGGTTCCTGCCTGGAAGCTCTGGGGCAAACCACCTGTGTGCATGGCTGCCTGTGTTCACCTGTGGCTCAGTAGAGGGTGGCAGTCGTCTGCCCAGGTGAAGAGGGCTCCATGGCTCCTGTTTTCCCATTTCTTGAGCATGGCATGCCCCACCAGAGGGCTAAAGAAGGCTGGAGGATAAACTCTGGCAGCAGTTGGACACCTGTGATATATAGTGTAAGGGGATCTCTAGCTTTTGGCCATTTTGGCAATTTCCCAGGGGCTGCACAAATGTCCAAAACCAAAAAAAAGATGGAAGGGCTTCAGGAAAGAATATGGGTAGACCACAGAGGGTTAAGTCTACATGAGCCCAATTCCGATGTTACTACTTCGGAAACGATTCTGCCTGTGGGAAAGAAAGCTTGGGTTTCCCCAGTCAGCCTTTTCCAGTCCCCATGAGGCAAGGCAGGGAACGGTGGTATCTCCAGGGCTGGTCTGGGCTGCGGGGAAAGGATGAGGGACTGAATGAAAGGGAGGCTTAGCCTGGAAGAGGTGTGTAGCCCCCACAAAGCAGGTTAGGTCAGTGCCCATGATCTTCCCTCACAAGGGAATGTTTCTGGGCAGCATAATTTTTCATTCATGGGTTTCCCCAGGTCACTAAGTGTGTGCTGCTTTGCTCATCAGGGTCATGTGAGGTTAGCATCTGGAGAGGCACGGGGGCTCAGTATGGCTGTCTCTGTGTAAAGTGGGGTTGTCTGGAGGCCACTGCATGGAACAGAAGTCAAATAATCCACAGGAATGCTCCGCTTCTGCTTTACTGTTCATTCTGTCTACAGTGCCTCCCAAACTCCAGCGCCATGACCAGGTCCTGTGGCAGGCGCTGTGCTGAAGCAGCCACTGCCTCCAGGGAGCCCCCCCGATAAGCAGTCTGGTTCCAGAGCCTGGGCTCTTAATTGCCGCACTTTACTGTCTCTGAAGTAAACTTGTCCTCTTCTAGTTTGTGACGCCCTGGAGGGTGAGATTGGTGTCTTTATTCTGCTCTGATCCAATAGTGCCTGGAATGAATTGGAGCCCAGTAAACAGTTGAATGGAAGGATTTTCTTTTTTCCTTGAGAGGTGGCCCTTTGACTCCGTCGGCATACCTCACCTCATACAAGGATCATATTCTTAGAAATCGTGTCACATTTCATGCCCTGGTCTCCGGTCATCAATGTCTGCCTTCATGTCTGCCACTCACTCCACTGCAACAGCACCCACTTCCTGCTCTTCTTCAAATATTCCAGTTTGCTCCAGCCTCAGTTCCTTTGCATTGACTTTGACTCCCGGAATATTCTTCCCAGATGCTTAGATGGCTGATTCCCTCACTCTCTTTCAAGTTTCCTCCCTCCCTCTCTCCTTCCCTCCTTCCTTTTTTTTCCCTTCCTTTCTTTCCTTGATTTTCTTTCTCTCTCTCTCTCTCTCTCTTCTTTCTCTCTTTTCTTTTCTTTCCTTTCTCTGCACTCCAGCACCCATGCTGGAGTGCAGTGGTGTAATCTCAGCTGACTGCAACCTCCACCTCCGGGATTCTAGTGATTCCGCTGTCTCTGTTTTCTGAGTAGCTGGGACTACAGGCACATACCACCATGCCTGGCTAATTTTTGTATTTTTAGTAGAGATGGGGTTTCACCATATTGGCCAGGCTGGTCTCGAACTCCTGACCTTATGATCCACCCGCCTCGGCCTCCCAAAGTGCTGGGATTACAGGTGTGAGCCACTGTGTCTGACCCCAAGCCTTTTCTTTTCTTTCTTTTTTTTTTTGAGATGGAGTCTTGCTCTGTTGCCCAGGCTGGAGTGCAGTGGCACGATCTTGGCTCACTGTAAACTCTGCCTCCAAGCAGTTTTCTGCCTCCAAACTGCCTCCAGCAGTTCTCCCTGCCTCAGCCTCCTGCGTAGTTGGGATTACAGGTGCCTGCCACCACGGCTCATTTTTGTATTTTTAGTAGTGACAGGGTTTTGCCATGTTGTCCAGGCTGGTCTTGAACTTCTGACTTCAGGTGATCCACCCACCTCAGTCTCCCAAAGTGCTGCAGTTATAGGCATAAGCCACTGGGCATGGCCTCAAGTCTTTTCTTAAATCTCACCTTCTCAAAGACTCTGTGGTATTTGCCTTTTTTCTGGGGTGTCAATACTCCTTGCCTGCTGATTTTGTGCTACCAAAGTCATGCCAACCAGGTTAAAGTTTTTGAAATTTTAGCAGTTGGCTCTCACAGGCCTGTGTGAGTTGGCACCAGCACACTCCTGTGTCCATGTCTCAGCTGAGCATCTCTTGAATCACTGGGGTACCTGCATGTATGGTCAAAGGACTTGATAACAATAACTTGGGCATACCCTGAGAATGACCCTGCGTGGCAGATGCACCTGAACGCGTGTCCCTAACTAGGGAATCTGGGAGTGGCCAACCCGGAGATTTGTTCCTTTTCTATCAGGAACATATGAGCCACTGGCCAGTCCCATGGAATGTGGGCTATACAGGGAATCAGTGCCCTTTGTTTTAGGGTAAGTGAAGGTTGCCAGGTAGGGACTGTTCGGGGGAGGATGCTAAGTAAATATGCTGTATAAACTGCACACCTTTTGCAAGCAGTTGAAACTCTCCTACCCAGGTCACTGCCACTGGACTCTCTCCTCTGGATTTAAGCTCCCAATAAAACCTCATGTCTCACTGACTGGCTCTGGGATACTTCTTCTGCCTCTCGAATCTGGTACCTTCCCTGTCAGAGTCTGTAGAAGCTTGGCACAGTACCTGTGCCACACTTCAGGGAACGTTGCTTGGACAAAGCCTTTTATAGAACAAAGGCTTTCCTTAGGATAGATTTAATCAGCTCCTGTTCATTGGGTTTCTTTGTTCACTGGGAATAGGTGTTTGTTCCTGGTTCGGGAACAGCAGCTTCCTCTTCAAAGAAGGGGTAATAACTAGCTTTGCTGATGTGGTTATCATAAAAATAGTGGATAGTAATGTTCTGATAGAGACCATGGTGAATTATCAAATGTGCCAGGTAATGAGTGACAACCTGCACAGCTCCTAGAAGTCACACTTGCTGTTTGATCTGAACAGAGAAGCCGGTTAGGTGGGCCAGAGTCTGCCCTCAGAAACCAGATTGCATGCTGGTGCATTTCTAACTGTTTCTAACCATTGGAAAATACACATAGTATACTCTAGGTCATTCAGAGCTATCCACTGTCACTCTAGCATTTCTTAACTATTCGGTTGTCATCCATTCTGCAGTTTTCATCATCTTTTTCAGTATTTTGTTTTCACACGTTGCTCACTCTATAGCTATACATATATCCACACATACATAGACATACACTAAGAACCCCTCCTCCTATCCCTTCTGACTTCAGAAATAAAGAAACCTAGGATTTGTTGGTCACCTACTATGTATAAAGCCTCATGTGGCCGGCGGCAGTGGCTTACGCCTGTAATCCCCGGCTGGGGCATTTGGGGGTCCGTTGGGAGGAGTGCATCACTGAAGGCATTTTGGGAGGCCTAGGCAGGCAAATCGCCTGAGGTCAGAAGCTTGAGACCAGCCTGGGCAATATGATGAAACTCCATCTATACTAAAAATACAAAAATCAGCTGTGCCTGGTGGCATATGTCTGTAATCCCAGCTACTTGGGAGGCTGAGGCAGGAGAATTGCTTGAACCCAAGAGGTTGAGGTTGCAGTGAGCTGAGCTGGTGCCACTGCACTCTAGCCTGGGCAACAGAGTGAGACCCTGTCTCCAAAGGAAAAAAAAATTGGCAGGTGCTGTGGCTTATGCCTGTAATCCCAACACTTTGGAAGGATGAGGTGAGCCAATCATGAGGTCAGGAGTTCCAGACCAGCCTGGCCAACATGGTGAAACCCCATCTCTACTAAAAATACAAAAAAACTATCCAGGTGGATGCCTGTAATCCCAGCTACTTGGGAGGCTGAGGCAGGAGAATCGCTTGAACCCAGGAGGCAGAGGTTGCAGTGAGCTGAGATTGCGCCACTGCACCCCAGCCTGTGCCAGTGCAAGACTCCGTCTCAAAAAAAAAAAAGCCTCATGCTAGGATCTTCCTATTCCTGATTTCATTTATTCCTCTCCTCAATCTTGAGAAGAGGCTATTATTTTCTCTACTTTACAAATGAGGAAATAGAAGCTCAAATAGTTTAAGAAATTTTCTCATAGTGCCACATACAGGAGCTAGGATTCAAACTCAGCTTTTTTTCCTTTTTTCTTTTTTTTGAGGCAGAGTAAAATAATCCTCCTCTCTGGATATTCAGTAAGAGACAAGGGTTATTTTACTCATTACTCACCTTCCAGTTTATTTTCATGGATTTTTATAAACATTTCTTTCACAAATTTAGGGGCAGCAATTTGCCTTAGGCTTCCGATAGTGAGTTGTCAAATTGAAAAGGAAAAATCTAGAAAAAAAAATGAATGTCATTTGCATGCTTTTAATAGGTAAATAAGTAAAAATTAGGTGTGAGTATTTGAGTCTGTAAAATGTTAACACTTATCTTAAAAATGCATTTTGGCCATGTGACCTTGGGATGTGACTATTGTAACAATGTGCTGACATGGCTTTGGGGAATTTTCTTATTTTTACTTTTCCATATGGAAAACCTGAGTGCATCATTAGGACCTGAGCTCAGGTTCTATAGTGGCTCTGGAAGAACCCAGGGCCTCCCTCCCGTTTGAAGCACTAAGCACTGTAGCATCACTAGAGTAGCTTGGCTCACAGTCAGCATTCCATCAATACTTGTGAAATAGGATGCAATGTTTTCCTAATATATGGCCCTAATCTTCCTCTCCTTCTCCCTCCCCTTCTTCCCACAGGTCTTTTCTCTGGAGTCCTGGGAGGCAAGTTATGGGCAGCACTGCCTCTGGCTGCACCATGAAGCCTGAGTCTGCTTGCGCTCTGCCCTGGGCCCTGCTCTGTCTGAGCATTGGGCTTCTAGCTGACCCCCTCCTCACAGCCTGCTACTGCTAGGAGGTAGAACTTTGGGACTGGTCCTTGGCCTGTTTCTACCTGTCACCTGGCTCACCTCACCACTCACTCCTCCTCCATCACAGCGCCCCGGCCCTGTCCCTGGCCTCCCTGGCTGGGGCATTTGGGGGTTTGCTGGGAGGAGTGCATCGCTGAAAGCGTCTTCCCACTCTCCTGCACCTTCTCTTCCTTGAATCAAGGCCTCCGGATCCACATGGATAGCTGAGATCTTTTCTTGGAGAAAGACGCTTTCCTCTTCACTTCAGCCCCTCACTTCCCCACCTGATTTTCCTCTTCTTCTGCTGGTCCTGTTTTTTTCCATTGCCTGTTTGTTAAATTTCTTGCTTGTGTGCCCCTCTGGGACTCTCTTGTGCACTTTCCTCCCTCTTCACCATCTCAGGATCTGTGTGTGCTGCCTTCCTCCTGTGTGCTTTCTGTCCCCCCATCTCTGCCTTTTCTTCCTCTCCCATTTCCATTACCAAAGGGAGAGAGCCTCTCTGGGCTGTTCCCTGGCCTGTCTGCTCCTCCAGGCTCTGTCCCAGCAGCCACAATGAGCTTCACACTCCACTCGGTTTTCTTCACCTTGAAGGTCAGCATCCTGCTGGGGTCCCTGTTGGGGCTCTGCCTGGGCCTCGAGTTCATGGGCCTCCCCAACCAGTGGGCCCGCTATCTCCGCTGGGATGCCAGCACACGTGGTGACCTGAGTTTCCAGTTCAAGACCAATGTCTCCACGGGGCTGCTCCTCTACCTGGATGATGGCGGCGTCTGCGACTTCCTATGCCTCTCCCTCGTGGATGGCCGCATTCAGCTCCGCTTCAGCATGGACTGTGCTGAGACTGCTGTGCTGTCCAACAAGCAGGTGAACGACAGCAGCTGGCATTTCCTCATGGTGAGCCGCGACCGCCTGCGCACGGTGCTGCTGCTTGATGGAGAGGGCCAGGCTGGGGAGCTGCAGCCCCAGCGGCCCTACATGGATGTGGTCAGTGACTTGTTCCTTGGTGGAGTCCCTGCTGACATACGACCTTCTGCCCTGACCCTGGATGGAGTACAGGCCATGCCCGGCTTTAAGGGATTAATTCTGGATCTCAAGTATGGAAACTCAGAGCCTCGGCTTCTGGGGAGCCAGGGTGTCCAGTTGGATGCTGAGGGACCCTGTGGTGAGCGTCCCTGTGAAAATGGTGGGATCTGCTTTCTCCTGGATGGCCACCCCACCTGTGACTGTTCTACCACTGGCTACGGTGGCAAGCTTTGCTCAGAAGGTAAGACCTTCTCCTTCTGTTGCTAGAGACCCATCCATGGGATGGCTGAGGCTGGGGCTCCTGATAGAAACCAGCTCTATATGGGTGCGCATCTTAGCTGCATGTTAGATCACTGGGCCCCTTGCCCCAAGGAGGCAGTAGAAATCCTTTGCCTACTCTCAATGGAGAATCTGTCAGATCTCAGCAGGAGGAGAATCCCGGCTCCTGAGCCCTGGGGTCTGTACTCTACTAAGAGGATTAGATGAAGTAGGCTGCAGGGTCTGCCCCAGCTTAGCCCCTCCCACTGTAGCACCGTTTATCATGGTCAACCCAGGGCAAGAAAACAGATAGAAATTAGCAAATTTCAGCGTGTATGGTGGCTTATGCCTGTAAACCTAGCATTTTGGGAGGCCGAGGTGGGTGGATCACTTGAGGTCAGGAGTTGGAAATCAGCCTGGCCAACCTGGTAGAACTCTGTCTCTAGTAAAAATACAAAAATTAGCCAGGTGTGGTGGCGCATGCCTGTAGTCCCAGCTATTTGGAGGTTGAGGCAGGAGAATCACTTTAATCTGGGAGGTATAGGTTGCAGTGAGCTGAGATTGCACCACTGCTCTCCAGCCTGGGTGACAGAGTGAGGATCCATCTCAAAAAATTAAAAAATTGGCAAATTTCTACCTGTGTCCCTCTGACCCCTTAAGGCTTGGACCCTAAAGGATAGTTGGGAAACTCCCCATCACTTCCTCTTCATCATCCCTAAACTAAAGAATGCCTGTGTAAAGAAAAATGAACTCGGTTCTTCTTTTGTTCTTCTTTTGTGGCCCACCACACTTCCCAACCCTCTGGGAGGCATCTAGAAGGTGGATGAGGCACCTGGGCCAGGCCCTTCTTGCCTCTTTGTTTTGGTAATGAGGATTTCTCACATGAGGTACCTCTTTAAAGGTGGTTCCCTTTCCCATCCTCTCCATGTAATGAGAACATTGCAAAAAGGCACGGAGATTGACTGTAGCCTTGCTCAGCCAACCATCCAAGGGAGTTGAGAGTATATAGCACAGCCTGGAGAACCTCCCGGATTCAACTGTGACTTCCCAGGGAGAAGCTGGGCTGCCCCTGCTTGTTCACCAAATCCTGACTGTTTGGGATTAGATTTAAGAGAAGTGGCTCAGAATTTAATTTGACAAATACTTAAAATCCTAATTCCTGGACTCACTCACGGCTTAGATTTGGGTAGGAGGAACTGCTGAAGTGAGAAACTGAGAATGGCCATGCAGGTATGTATGATAAGAGATGAGGATGACAGGAGGCAAGGAAGCCACATTTCCTCCTACCATTTGGGTTAAGCCCTGGATTCTCCTACATGGGTTTTATGTTGCCGTAAAACCGGTCTCTTTGTGGACGTGGTGCAAGGTATAGGGCAGAACAGTGGTTTTCAACTTAGCTGCACATTAGGATCATCTTGGGGGAATTTACACTCCAGACCACATCCCAGGCTAATTAAATCAGAATCTCTTGGCATGGGATCCAAGCATCTGTACATTTTTAAAACTCTCCACATAATTCCAATGTGCAATCAAGGTTAAGAACCAACTAGTACAAGATCAAGCAAGGCCAGGTGGCTGGTGCCAGCTGGGTGGTGCAGGTGGATGTGGCCAGGTGACTGCCTTGCCACTGACTCCCAAGATTTCTTCATTCAGGTAAGGCCCTGCTACCTTGGGATTTGTAATTAAAAACTGCAGGTGTTCCTTAAGCGTTTCCAGAACATCCCAACCCCTAAAGCAGGTTGTCTTTGATGTACTTTAGCTACCAGTGGCTATTTAAGAATATTTAAAAAATTAAAACAAAATTTATTTCCCAGGTGGTACCTGCTGGAGACCGGAACACCCTGGAGGTCTTGTCATGCAGGGGCTATTGCCTGAGTCTCCACTTCTTTCTTCTAATAAGTTGGGCATCACATCTATCTCCTTTCCTGCGGGTGGGCTGTCAGAGATGGAGATGCCAGGCATATATGTTGTCCTTATTTGGCTTCTGTTTTTCCTTCACCGAACCCACTGGGAGAAGGGGTGGGGAGGAGGCAACCCCAGTCTACGAACCATTTTGGGAGTGTGGTTATTGAAGTGCTTCTCACAAGCAGGTGCCTTCTGGAGCTGACTGCTGTTCCAGAGCTTCTTGGCTTTGGAGAAAGTTCTGCCTCAAGACGCTGACATGATCACTTGTTTTCTCATTCGCCCAAAGGATCTGTTCTGTTCTCAAAACTTGCATTGAAAGCTGGCATTCTTCCTTTCTAGGGACCAGGGTGTTCGCAAGTGTGTTGTTAACTTGCTGATTATCTCTGATTGCATTTTTGTGTTTAAAAAGAACTCATTTCCTTGGGGCAGGTTTGGATCAGCACTTTTCTGCAGGAAAAAAAACCTCTATACTGTATATGTATACAATTTGCTTTTCTCTTCTTTTTCTTTTTATATTTTGTGTGTGCTCCAGTTCCCAGTGGAATTTCTTCAGAGCAGATTGCGTGCCGTTGGTTTTTAATAGCTAAATGCAATATGTATATTTTAATAATTGTTTTTTTTTCCCTACAAGGTTCAGATCATCTGCTGGCTATGGATTGATGCTTCTATCTGTAGAAGGCAAACACGCAGCCTAACTCATTTATTCTCCTGATACGTAAATAGAGTAAATAAACTGCCATAACAGTAACACTTGGCTGGCTTGGAACAGAGCAGTGCAAAGGTTGAGGTGAGAGAGGATGTTCAGAGAGGTGACAGAATCTACTTTTGATTACTTGGAGCCTGTCGATCCTGGTAATTGTCGTCATGTCTAATCAATCACACAAGTGTATCACAGACTATTAGAAAGTCACTGTTGCCTCCACAGCTAGTTAGTTTTTAGAAAGTAAGCAGGAAAAACTTACCTGTGGAATGTAATGGGAAAGGAAACCACAGCAGCTGCTAAGTGTCAAACAGATCCGCACAAAACAGGATAATGTCTGCCCATGTTTCCAAAGATAATGTGGTGAAGCGGGTAGAGAGAATGCACCCATTCTCCCCACCCCACCCCTGCTAAATTGTCCGAGTCACAGAACTGAAACCAGGAGGCTTATTCCCAGGAGGCAGAATGTGCACCAAGCACCCGCTTGTCTCAATTTGCAGGATAGGCTCTGCTATTTTGTTGTGTGAGGCCTTGCACCAGGCGTGGAAGGTCCATTTTGTACTTTATGCTTTGGCAGTTCAAAGAGCAGGGAGAGCTGCGAGGGCCTCTGCAGCTTCAGATGGATGTGGTCGGGCCATTGGAGGCGCTCTCTGTGGTCCATTAACTCCTAGCCCACCTGCGGTGTTGCTGTTTGCTTGGCCTGTCTGGGTCTCCATGCCTTGATGGCTCCAAAATGTCATCATGCTGCGCTCCAGGAAGAAGGTGCGGATAGGCCATCTCTTTTATGTGCTTTGGGCTATTTTGATTCTCTGTTGGGTATATTCCCTAGGTAAGACCCAGAAGACACAGGAGATAGTTGCTTTGGGAGAGTTTGGACTTACGGGCATGAGGTAATAGACACAGTATCTTCTCTTTCATTTGGTGAAAGGCTATTAGCTCTGGGTGCAGGCAGAATTCCACACAGCTTACTTGGAAAAACCTTATTCCAAGGATCCCAAGCTAAATAATAGTCACATTGAACATTGTAGCGCATGATGGACAGAAAAGTGGTCCCAGATTTTTACATCTGGGTGTTATGTCTATGAATAAAATGCTTTGGTGGTCAACCAGACTTGTTCATATTGACATTGAGTCTTGCCTTTTCGGTGGTGATTTTTAAATTATGTGTATCTGCTTTGGGACATAGTGGAGCTGTGGCATGCATTTTCATCCGGCTTTTTGTTTAGCTCAGCCTGTCCCGTTATGGGCAGCCTTGAAACTCAGTGGCTAATGAAGAGGTATCCTCAGCTTCCTCCCTCTAGAGAGCAGTTCCCTCACGGGTCATTGAGAGTTTGTCAGTACCTTGAAATGAGTTTAAACTTGTTTATTTTTAAAACATTCTTGGTTATGAATGTGCATGTATTGAATTACTCAAACAACCTTATGGTTGTGAAGAACTGATTCGCTGCCAAGGTGTATAAATTTCAGTCCCAGTGTCTCTGGAGAGTTCATTTAGCATGAAGTCAGCCTGTGGCAGGTTGGGTGGAGCAAGGGAACAATGTAGAAGCTTTCATAGGTAGATCGCTACTTCCAAATCGACCCATGTCACAGATCACTCGTGCCATCACATTTGACGTTGATTCAGTTGAGAGGCACAAGCTTCTAGTCTACCGGCAAAGATTAAGTTGATTCCTTGTCTTCTGTCTTCTCTTATGGACTTGGGTGAGTGCCCAGACCAGAAGCAGTTTGTCTTGAGTCTTAGCTGTTATGTTTTTAGAGGTTGGGCTCCTCTAGTGAAGTGTTGTGGTGGGTGTTGGTAATAGAGACCACAGCCTTGTTATAAGCATGCAGTTGTGTGGTCCCCAGCTCAGCTTCAGGACCATGTTCTGTAGTGACTGTCCCCCTCCCTCCCACTGTCTGAAGCTCGGATCCTACTCAGGTCAGTCTGATTGATGGCTCAACACCACTGTGTGGCCTTCCCATGCCTTCCTGAAAGTGAATTACAATTACTTTTTTTTTTTTTTTTTTTGAGAATTGTATGACCCATCTCTCAAAGCCAGGACTAGGACGGAATGGCATATGCCAAGAAGAGGCTGCTTATCCCTGAGCAGTTACTGAGATCTAGAGATATCAGATACTGTAGTGAAGGGACCAGTGGTTGCCTCGGTTGGATCCTCCTGTTTCGGGCACTTGTGTAACAACCCGGCCATTTCCCCTCCCTCACCACAGTGCACATGCTGCTTGAATTATAACATGGCATTGTTCCTAATCTGTGTCAACTCTGAATGGCCTTGGGAAGGGTGAACTGCAGGAGAGTGGTGCATACCCGGAGAGTAAAGGACTACTCCTTTCCAAGTCTTCCCTGTTTTGGAGAGGAGAGAACAGAAGCAAGGCCTTAA